GAAGGGGTTTCTGCCTCTATAGGCAGCCTCTAGCGAGAAGTTGGCTTGGCGCTTTTTTGGTGGTAGGATTGGGATTTCAAAGACGCTCTCTTGGCTGGCTGGTTGCTGGGTAGGAGTGGCTGGGTAGGGGTCCTCTCTGTCCATTTCCCTGTCGATCTGAGCCTCTGGGCCTAGGCTCTCTTGTCTCTGTTCTAGCACTTGGGCTTCGATAGTATCGCTTTCTGGTGGCATTCTGTTGCTGGGGTTCTCTTATTACTAAGCAGAGTGGTCTGTGTGTTTTTGTTTTGAGTGTGAGACGTGTCTTGACTATCTGCTCTTATAGCTTATAGCTCCACAGCGCGCACGCTGCACGTCTTAAAACTTGCTGTAATTAGTTTCTTGTAAGGGATTTGTATATATTTAACAAAAATTACACCTATTCTAGAAAACTTGACGTTGGTGTGTGTGTTTTTGTTTTGAGTGTGAGACGTGTCCCAACTATCTGCTCTTATAGCTTATAGCTCCACAGCGCGCACGCTGCACGTCTTAAAACTTGCTGTAATTAGTTTCTTGTAAGGGATTTGTATATGCACGGTCACTGTAGACTATATGGAGACAATTGAATACGCCACATTCTTCAATTTGCCGTCATGATACCACTTCTGTACCGGGAGCAACGTGAAATACTAATGGTGATTCGAGGAATGGATGAGGAGCTTCGAAGCCAAGCCGGAGGCAACACGGAGGCAACGCGGGCGCCACAATGCGGGGCTAGGTAGCACCACTAGTGCCAGGCGACGTACCACCAACCTATCTTGTAACTACTAATCAGAAGTACTATTATGAAGAAACCAGATGGGCATGAATACAGCATGCGAACCGCGGTGGACGCATTTAAGCAAATTAGCTTTCCACATCGACAAATCTGATTCTCAATAATCCTCTACTCCAGTCCATCATGTCTTCGGATGCAGACTCCTCGCACCACAAGCGCGTCTGGTGGAAAGAGGCAACATTCTACCAGATATACCCGGCATCTTTCAAAGACAGCAATGGAGACGGCTGGGGCGATATTCCGGGGATACTTGAAAAAATCGAGCACATTGCGTCTCTAGGCGTAGATGTAGTATGGCTTTCCCCCATGTTTGACTCTCCGCAGGTCGACATGGGCTACGACGTGTCGGATTATGAGCAAGTGTATCAGCCATACGGTACAGTGGAAGACGTCGAGAAGCTCATCAAAGCATGCCATGAGAACAACATGAAGATCATTCTCGACCTTGTCGTCAACCACACAAGCAACCAACATGCTTGGTTCAAGGAAAGTAGGAGTTCAAAAGACAACCCTAAAAGAGATTGGTATTTCTGGCAGCCAGCTCGTTACGATGAGCAGGGAAACCGTCAGCCTCCAACAAACTACCGCTCGTACTTTGCTGGTGGAACTTGGACGTGGGATGAGCGTACGCAAGAGTACTATCTGCATCTCTACGACAAATCGCAGCCTGATCTCAACTGGGAAAACGAAGATTGCCGCAAAGCCATCTACAATTCCGCCATGCGATTCTGGCTAGACAAGGGAATCGACGGCTTCCGAGTTGATACCGTGAACAAATACTCCAAAGTCTTCCCTTTCTCCGACGCACCCATCACCGATCCCGCAAGCGCCATCCAGCCCGCCGCACAAATGTGGTGCAACGGCCCGCGGATCCACGAATTCCTCAAAGAAATGAACCGCGACGTACTGTCACATTACCGCACGTACGACGGCCTCCCTCTCGTCACAGTCGGCGAACTCGCGCTCTGTTCCTCTCCAGCCTCCGTCCTGCCGTACATCAGCGCGCGCGAAAAAGAACTAGACATGGTCTTCCAATTCGACATTACACACCTGGGCCAGGGTCCACCGGGCAGCGACACCAAGTACGACTTTACTCCGTGGGAAATCTCAGAAATGAAGCGCATAGTCGAGAAATGGCAGTGCTTTATCCACGGCACCGACGCCTGGACAACCGTTTTCAACGAGAACCACGACAATGGGCGCAGCGTCTCGCGCTTCGCAGACGACTCACCGCAGTGGCGAGACCAGAGCGCAAAGATGCTGGCACTGTGGCTCATCGGTCAAACCGGCACCTTGTTCCTATACCAAGGCCAGGAAATCGGCATGGTTAACGCGCCGCGACACTGGGACATAGCACGCGACTACAAAGACGTTGAGGCCCAGAACTACTGGGCTGAAGCGGTGCGTCTGGCGCAAAACGGGACTGATCCCTCGCGCAAGGAGAGGATAAAATACGGGTTACAAGTCATGGCGAGGGACCATGCGCGTCTCCCGTTCCAGTGGGATGGAAGTAGGAACGCTGGGTTTACGAGTGGTACGCCGTGGATGCGCGTGCATGATGAGTATGCGAGTATCAATGTTGAGATGCAGGAACGGGATCCGGAGAGTGTGCTGGCGTTTTACAAGCGTGTGCTTGGACTGAGAAAGGTGCATAAGGAAGTTTTTGTCTATGGGGCGTTTGAAATGCTGGATTTGAAGGCGAAAGAGACATTTTCGTATAGAAAGAGGTATGAGGAGAAGACGGCGGTTGTGGTGTTGAACTTTTCGACAGTGCAGCAACAGGTAGGTGTTGATGTTGGGGGCATGAGGCTGCTGGTGAGTACTGATGGGAAGGGAGATGAGGGTTTGCTGGGTCCTCTTGAGGGGAGGATTTATGTCGACTATTGAGCTAGCCATGAATTGTTCATGCATGACACGTAGATATCGTGAATCGTTGCTTGTTATGAGGGGTATTTTACAATGCAATATGCGCGCTTGGCCTTTCCCATCTTCTTCGGCACCCTTCCTACCACTTTCCAATAGCCGGCAGGTATTTGTATAACTCATCATACTCCTTTCCAACCCATCCTGCCATGGCGCCTTCTTGGCCCACCACACCAAGACTACCTCCCAGCCAAAGCAGGGTCACTGCTGCGCTGATGCCATTGATCGTATACCACCTCCTCTTCCTCACCAACCCCCTGTGCTCTTCTGTATGGCTGACCTGACTCGGTGCAAAACCCATCCACTTGGCCGCTCCCCAAACAATATGCCACACACCAACAGTCGCCAGGGCGGAGAAGCCAGCAAACGAAACACCAGGATGCAGCGCAAAACCATGGGAAATGTAGTTCAGGCTAATCAGCGACGAGTCTCCGTGGGCATACAAAGGCAGTATCCTTGTCGTCCACATGTGGAATCCCGCCAGCGGCACCAAGGCATACCCCAAGGCACTCGTCCCACTGATGACGGGCCATGGAATTGTGCGCTTATCCCTGCGAGTCTCGGCACCATATCGCTGTAGCGCTTTCCGTCTTCTCCACAACCGCAGCGCAATCCCCGACGTGATGTGTGCGACCAGCGGCAGACCAACGAGCAGGGGTTCGGTGAGAGGAGACTGGTAGTAAGGACGGGTAAGAAGCAGGTAGCGGTTACTTTCGACGACGGAGCGGGTAGCCAGGGGTAATATCGAGACATTTGTGATGTGCAGGGTCGCGAAGACGGTGAATGTGTAGGACGAGTACTTTTGTATGCGGAGAACTATGCACGGGAGCATGTATCATCAGCACGTGGACTTGCAATTGGGAGAGGAATTGCGGAAGACGTACGCCACCATGCTGGCCCCCGCTCGCCCAATCTCAATCCCAATGTGTTCATGCGTCGTACCCCCCTCATTTCCTCCGTCTCGCCCCCCTCGGGCCGCTCCTGGTCTGGGAAATAGCTCTTTTCGCGGTACTCGGGCGGCGTGTCGACGGGCGAGGGATCGACTTCGGTGAGGCCGATGACGCTGGCATCATCGTCCAGCGGCCGGTCCGTGTTGACCTCCATTGTCGGGATCGGCGTGTTCGTTTGTCGTGCAAGACGGGAGTGTGCGGTGCGTGTTTAAGAATGCATGGGGAAATGCATCGCGATGGGGAATTGCTACGCTGGCTGAGAGTGGGAATGACGTTGATTCGCGGGCGGCCGGGGTCGAGTGGGTCTGTGCCACTTGGTTGTTCCTGGGCTGGCGGCGCGCGCGCTTGAACCCCAACGACCAATCTTGCACGACCAAGTCACGCGTTTCTTCAGCCTCAGACGGGCATTGCTGGAGAATATTGGAATCCAGCTGTTTCCAAGGACTCATCCAGGGACAATCATGCCTCCAGTACGTCATCCTCTTCTCACTACATCCATCCCGACTGTGTATAGCCCACGTACTAATGCTACTCTCACCAGCGAAACAACCCCCTCCCCGCCGCCGTGCGCCTCTTCAACTGCACAATATGCGACAAAGGATACCCCCGCCAGCTCGACTATGAAAACCACCTCCGCTCCTATGACCACAATCACCGCCAGCGTCTCGCCGACATGAAGAAACTGACGGCCTCCAACGACAACGAAAGCAGCAACAAGCCCAAGCAAGGCCTCGATATGCGCAGTATAGACGTTGAGAATGCGAACAAGAAGCCGGGAGTAGGGAGTCGATTTACCAAGATTGGGGGTGCGGGCGGAGCAGCCGCGGCGGGAAGCAGGTTCAAGAAGGTGGGCGTGGCAGTTGGTGCGAAAGAAGGGGGAAATGAGAGTGTAGAGGCAAAGAAAGTGGAGGACAGTGTGAAGGTTGAGGAGAAGAAGCAAGAGCCTGTTGCTGCTACTACCACTACAACAACAACTATCCCCGTGCCCCAAGCGGATGCCAAGGAGGATACCGCCATGGTTGAGGGCACTGGAGAAAGCATCACGTGGGAAGAGTACGATTTCACAAAACCAACTGGATGCGATCACAGGAGTTGTCCTGGCTGCAAGACAGACGGCATCTGGAGCGGCGAATGGGTTGCTGTTGGCGGCTCATGAGGGATGTTCACGTGATTGACGATTTCACCAAAGTTCTACGACCAAGAAGAATTGGCAAATTCCTTACATCACATACACGTGTTGTTCAAGAGTCTTTGAACTATTCAGCCTACCACTGATAGAGGACAGGTAAGTTCTTCTTTACTATTGTACAGCTTCGCTTAGATACACGTCTCTTGCGAACTTTCCTAAAAGTCTCATTTTAATCTTGACAGCGTGCTCTATTAGTAGTGCACCGATTTCTCCAAAAGATTGCATACTACGAGGCCTTAAACCATTTCTAACTAACAATTTGTAGTTTTCCTATATCTATTCATCGCACCCAATATCCAAGCTCGGTCCAATGCAGACCTTTACGCATAGCTTTAGGGAGCGGGGAGAAACGTATGACCCACCCGTCTCCCCGCTTCTTGAAATGAGCGCAAGGGTGTCCGGCGTTGATGCAGTGGTCGTCTGCACTCTTCTTCCACTCACCACCCTTCATATACAGCAGTCCTGGATCAATCCCGTGGTTGCCTCATACAACCAACTTGCGAATGCAGTACTTTTTTAAAGCAGCCGCTTCGGGGTCATTCGTGCAAGCCGCATATCGAGCTGTCCTTGACTCAGATTCCAAAACCATTTCATTGAAACGGTGTAGGAGCTCAGTGCGAACATGGGCAGGAAGTTGTTCGATGTCCGTAAATGCCGAATTTTGTTCCCGGCTGATTATACGAAGGCACATGGGAAGATCCCTCGCCGCCTTGGTGTCTGTATCTGCTAAGGAATCGAGCAAGTCAAGTCCATCTAGCCAGTTGTTGTGAATCCTGTCTGCCTCGTCTTTGTCGTCCATGTCGTCCATGTCGTCCGCGTCGTCCGCATCGTCCGCATCGTCCACGTTATCTTTATTGTCCATGCAGCCCACGCCGTCGATGCCGCCCACGCCCACGTCGTTCGCATCGTCTTCTGAATCAGAGATAACGATAGGTTCTTGTGGATTGACTCCTCGACCTTGTTGATTATGCTCCTCAGTCTTGACGGTATCTTTGATTGGTATAATGTCAGCGCGCGCCTAGACTAATCTAGCACTCAACTTACTAGAAGACGTTGCATTCTGACGCAGTAAAGCTCTGATGATATCTTCTTTGTACTCGGGACTCAAGACTTGCAAGTAGCGGTCTTGACCTGCCTCATCAAGTTTTTGGAGGTCGCTAAGAAGATCAGCGGTGCTGATATTGCGGCTCATTATGTATTTCAAGGTCTGTAGAAGTTGGTGGTACTTAAGGTCACGTCTGAGGTGAGGATGGGGAAAAAGGTTGATTGCACAAGAGCTTAACGTGGGATTTAAGTAAAAGAGCTATTAGCAGTGCGGCCTTAAGGAAATCTCTAGGTGAAGCTTGGTTCTCAAGAGTTCTATAGTAGTGATAGTGAACCAGCAGTGTGGCGACCCTGGACAATCTTACCTCTGCCAGACTGTGAGTAGTGAAGGTGAGTAGGACACGGACCTATCTTAACGCATTGCCTACACATACTGCCTACACGCCTACACGTACTGCCTACACGCCTACACGTACTACCTACATTTAGAGTAAGTGAAGGGAAGTGTAGCCCTTTATGTTCTATAGTAGTAAATAAGTTAGATTATAGTACATAGTAGTAAATTGCAACAAATTGCAGTAAATTTCAGTAATTATGTCTTAGTTAACATTGTAAGATTTCAGCCCTAATGAGAATGTCAAGTGGTTCTTGAAGACAGCGTAGACATTGTGTGTTTCGCACCTATGAGTAAGTAACTAACAATGTTGAATAATGATATGAAATATTAACTTCTTACGCTGTGTACGTATTGTCTATAACTTAGACTTTGCATCTATTGTAGTGTAGTATCATGCACATAACCAAGTTTCAGGTAGTATACATGCAGTAGCTATGATAGATAGGAGAAAAGCAAACACCTCCCACTCAGACAGCCTTACAGCAGCTGCTGTTCTATCTGCTTTCTTGCCCACCTGCCAAGTCCGCGTCAAAAGCATGTTCTCTAACTTCTTTCATGCTATAGTATCCCATTGCTTGCAATACCACAATGCACAAAGCTAACAGGAACAAATGTATAAGGAAGTGATGATCGTGTGACCACCGTCTCTGGGCTCAGTACAGGTCTGGTGCGAAGGCACTATGTCCCATCAGGCTGTGCCGTGACATCGCTGCCACATCTCTCTCATTGACCGTACCTACTCCCCTCTCGTCTTACAGCCTGGAGATTCCAAATCCAACTCTAGTCCTCGATATTTTATAATCTCAAGTCGCCCTTTTATGCTATTGCACGTGTCATTATACTATAGTATACCCTATCATCTTTCGAATCAGTATCCAGGTCACTAGAGTAGATGTAAAACACGAGTATGTCCAGACTGGGGTTTCTGCCTTCATATATCGTATTTCCGTGCAGGAACAGAAAAAAAATACAGTCTCTTGCACTTGCATGTACTAGAAACCTTGAATGATCTTTACTTGAGAAATGACTCAATTTAAAAGGTATTAGGTACTACTAGTGTATCTATCTCTAAACCTATTGTCTACTAGTTCTAATTAGACCGTGTCTAGCTATTTCTATGTAGGACTAGCTTAGAAGTGCAGGAGCCACCTTTTAAGGGATATAGACCTAGTATCCAAGATCCTAATACTATTAGGTCTAGCTTAGCAATGGTTCCTAGTACTACTAAAGTTAGTATTTTGCAAGATTATATAGTAGTCTTAAAGAAGGGGAATAAGATTACTTACCTACAGCCACGGCTTGGGCAATTGAGCGTTGTACCAAAGATGTTACTGTTCTTGGTCGGCCTCCCAATAGGATCACCATTGGCAAATCCTACTAGGGGTGTGATTGAGAATTCAGCACCTCCAATCGATAGCTGAGGCGCGCCATGAATGTTTCCCTTTGCACGGGAAACTGAGTCAGAGCAGTCGCAATGAGCACAGTAGCAAGCTTGACTCGCAGACCACAGCGTAAAAGTAGCAGCAGCAATGCAAACAGCATCGCGGATTGGGAAGCCCCATTCACACCAGACTGAGCCTGCTGTGCAACCAACAAGCGCAGCACCGTACAGAGAATATGCACGCGCTTGGCAAAGACTGCACTGAGCAGCTGGCTCACCAGTTCCTGTACAGGTGGGGTTCCAGGGTGCTGAGCCAAGATTGAGTTTGGATGCTGCATCAATCATCTCTGCTTTGGAAGCTGTAACTGTGCCTGAATTCAGACAAGGGTACAGAGTGATCCCTTGGCGCGCCTCTATCTTGACGAGTTCATCCGTTTTCTCTCCAATAGAGAGAGCGTTGGTTGATTTGCTCGAAAGTGCGAGAATGCAGCATACTGCTTGAAGGGTAGAGGTAATAGAAGGCATTGTTGTAGAGTGGTTGATATAGCTGAGAATAGCTTGAAGGTAAGTATATTGTAAAGATATCAGGCTCTTTTATCGATGGTGAGGATGATGAAAAATATTAGGGGGTAAATCTGTAGTTTTATATGTCTCTAGGACTAGCCTTTCTACTTTGTAAAATGATTTCTATCAAGATGATTGGTGTGAATAGTAAAGTATAAGAATGTCACATGAGGATAGAATTAAGAAAGAGACGATACCTAACTAGTTGATAGGTAGAGGTAGATGTAGAGTAGACTAAGCTTATCTAAGACCTTAACGCTTTTCCCGTCCTTACTTACCCTGTGATAGGTACACTTCCTTACTAGGATAAGCGCTATATTTTGGGGTAAATCACTGGCTTCTACCTTCGTACTCATGAACTTAGGAAAAAGTAATAAAGTTCATTCATTAATCTAATATAGTTTACCTTACCTAAAATCAAAGACGCTATATCTTCAAAAGGAGAATAGTGACGAAGATGTTAGAAATAGAGTTGTAAAACATGGCTGACAAACCTAAGTACTTCTAAGATGCTACTCATGAACCTAGGAAGAAGCTATAAACATGGTCAATCAATATAATATAGTTCAAGAAAGGCTTAGTTAGGAAAGACCTTGGAGCAATCATGACCACACTGGGCACCTTCGGCTCAGGCACGGTTTTGTGCCGCTAGAAACATACGATTCCAGATGCACATGAGGATAGCACATGTGGGGCAATCATTCCATTTGCTACATACATGCAAAACACGCATGGCCACGACTATCTAAGTACGTAAAAAATGACAGAAAATCATACTAACAAAAACCCCTCGTCGAAGATTCTAGGCACATTTAAGACCTCCCCAACTATACCTAGTGAGGTAGAGGCCTGCCTTTACCCACCTAGAGTAAGGTTAAACAACGCTCTTCAACAATACGCCTTTAGAGCTCAAAAACTAGCCCCAAACCACCCAATTAATATTGCTATAACTAGCTATAAAGGGGAACAACTAGATCAGATCACTAGATCTATCTCCACAGTCCTTGCTAGAAACACCGAGGAGATACAACATTACGCCTTCACACCTTGGAACTCAAATATCCCATACAAGGTCTATATATCTAAAGAGCCTAAAGACATAGAAGCAAAGAACCACAAGGAACAACTAGTAGATAACAGCCTCCTATCTATCTATTCTAATGCCTCAGCTACAAAGCAAGGCAAAGGTGTAGGAGTAGGGGTTACATTCTATCTAGGAACAACACAAATAGCCCAAGAACAATATACTATAGGAAATAACTAACTAGTTTACAACGGTGAACTAGAAGGTATT